ACAACAATGCTGGATTGGTTGCCGACTGAACTCTTGATGCGTTTGGTTGACACAACCTTGGAAGTGGATTGTGTCTGTAATCGAATGGACGTTGAAACACCATCTATAGCAGATTGACTGGCTGATTGAATGTGGAGCTTGATATTCGCCGCCATACACGCTTTTGATCATTGCCAGAACGGAACGGTGCCATGCTGGTTGGGACCAAGCATTCTGATGAGGCATTCTCGATGCCATCCTGGCTGCTGTTTCTGCAGATATCCGCTGCGTTGGTATTGTTCCGCATATGTTGAAAATGCTGGTACCGCTGCATTTCGCTTGCTGTGTTTCGATGCAATAAGAATACGTCTCACCTCCTACAAGCAAATGTCTTGATTCGCTTACTGCGCCGCTGATGTGGTAAAGAAGCTCGATGCCAAAAAAAAACCACACACACACATTCAACTGACCAAGACTTGCTGTGGAGGTCACACCAGCTTCTCCACTTTTTGTTTGACTTTACTGCCTCTTTCCAAACACACACACACACACACTCAACATGGACTCAAGACTGCTGTGGAGGTCATTTTTGTTTCTTGTCAGGTTTTTTTTTGCTGTTCGACATCTTCTCCTTTTGAGAAATTTCAAGGTGTTTTTTCACACTGTCGCAATTCTCTGCTTGAAAACATCTGGAATTCAGCGTGGGAATCCTGAAGAGATTGGTGTTAAGACATTTTTTGGTTTAAAGTCTGTCAAGAAGTGTCTTGAGACGGTTTTTCCAAGTGGTGTTGAGACACTTAAAAACTTAAAAATGGCGCTGAGACACCCTTTGGTGTTGAGACACCCTTTGGTGTTGAGACACCCTTTGGTTCAAAGTTTTTAGGTTTTTGTCAAAGTGGGGTCTCGAGACATTCTTTGGTTGAGACACTTTAAGCTTGATGTATGTGGATTCAAAGTGGTGCTGCTACACCATTTGGTGTTGAGATACCCTTTGGTTCAAGTTTGTTTTTGGATCTTTCTGTCAAGGTGGAGACACCTTGGGTTTCAAAGTCTTTTGGTTTTTTGCCAATTTGGTCAAGACCCCATTTTCTGGCTGGATTCTGGGCTCAAGAAAAGGACCCTGTGGTGTTAAGATGCCTTTTCGTTCAAGTTTTTGTTTTTCTGCAAGATTGGTGTGACACTTCTTTTGGCTCAAAGGTTTTAAGTTTTTTCTTCAACGGGTCTTTGAGACCATAATTTTTGGGTTTTCCAAGTGGTGTTGAGACACCTGGCTCGATCTGGACTTCTCCAAATTGGTTGAGACACCCTTTGGCAAAAGTGGTCTTGAAACACTCTTTTTGGCTCAATTTTTTTCTGCAAGTGGTGTTGAGACACCCTTGATTTTTTGGTTTTTCTGCCCAAGTGGTGTTGAAACACCCTTTTGGCTCGATCTGGAACTTTCTTGACATCTCAACTTCGCATTTAAATTGAACCAAAAGAGTGTCCTGTCCGGCTGGCTTTTTTCTACAAATGGTAAAGCCACTTTTGTCCCAAGTGCTTCGTAAAGGTGTTTTGGAAGGCCACGAGCTTCTGCAATACGTCTCTCGCTTGTGAGAGAAAAGTGCGGTAGCTGCCCGCTTACTGTGTGGGTTGTGGGTTTGGCAGTTTCCCTGCTTTCCTGACCTTAAGCCGGTTAGGCTACTTTAGCTGCTTTGACTTTCTACGATAGTACTCGCTGCTGCCAACACAGGGGTGCGGGATTCTCGGCAGGGTCATACACTGGAGCGGCTCTTGCAGCGGTGTGTTTGGCCAGGCAGGTGCACTGGGCAGGTCGGGGAAACATGCCGGGGGTGGATGTTCGGTTGGGTGGAATCGCAATGCCCAGAGCCCTCCTGCAGTTTTTGCTTGACCTAGCCCCCCTATCAGCAATTCAGCTTGTGCACCATCAAGGCGATCAACTGTGCATTTGGCGCCCGTCATAAGAGGCCAGAGAGAAGCCGTGCGCAAAGGCTGGAGCTGTACTACTTCCGCACAGTCGCGGGGTTGGGAGGAGCGTACGGGCACTTCTTTTCAGCTGAACCTCTTTTTTCAACTCGCCCCCGCGGATCTGGACCTTGCGGCCACAAGTAAATGGGTTTTCGGGCTAGCAGACCCGGCTACGTCACGTTTGGTGCAATCAGCACTCATGAACATTGCGTGCGAGGTAGTCAAGTCTAGCGCGCGAGCGACGCGTTTTGTTGAGGCTCACTTAGGCAAAAAACCCTAGCGTATCGGCACTCAAGCACTTCCTTCGGGTCCCGGAAAGCTCGGACTTATCGGAGACCCTACTGCGACAGCAATGTTGCGCAAAGCTAATCAAGGACACCTCCCTGCATGCAGGTGAGCTCCCTGATGAGTTCTCAAGCGTAACCAGTCTTTTTCCCCAACTCCTGCAACTGTGGCTGCCGGGGCTGTCCCTGGAACGCCTGGTCGACATGCTGGCTTACCAATTTCCGGCCATGCAGGCAGAGTCGGCCGTGGAAGCTGAGCCTTCAACCCCTTTTCACAAACCTCATCGAGTGAGCGTGCGGAGGGCCCCGAAGCTCGAACCACTCCCCTGCGGGCATCCGCTGGAAGGTCACTATTCGACAACGGGTCTTCCCAGATGCGTTGACCCTGGTCCTCGTCCCAGACCTGCAACAGGTCCCGGACAGCGCCAAGTCGTGGTTTAAAATTCAAAAACATAACATTGCTAGGAGGAAAACCGACGAAATGCGTCAAAATCCATCACGCCACGAAATCCATCAAATCCATCAGGCCACGAAATCCATCATATCCGTCACACCGTCCGTCACGTCATCCATATAGCGACACTCTGTAACGACAGCCACCTCCGCTGAAAAACCCTCCGCCATGCTTTCGGAAAAAATATACGTGTGCGAATAATGACTCGAAAAGATGCAGGTGCAACTGACTTCATTCACTCGTTCCGATCGCAGGCTCGCTTGTTTCGTCTTTTCACTCACTCTCTTGACTTTTGAATTATGCCCGTGAGCCCCTTGAAGACGATTTAATATTGGCTCGCGGACACACCTTGACAGTCAATCCACCAATCATCTGTTTTGGCCGTGTACAAACCCCCTTTCTCGCTGTGTCATCCTAGTCTCCAAGCCTGTCAGAATGATTTAGGATGTGGAAAAAGAAGGGAGCTAACTTGTTCTTTCTCTTTCTATCCCGGGCGGGAATCTGCGCCCGGATGAACAATAATATTGTGCTATGCGGCCTTCTTTCTTATCTTCATTTCGGTCGCCAACTCTTAACAATAAAAGAATGAAGAGAGTGTGTGAATATTATCATAAGAACGAAATGGAATGCAGGACGCATGAATAAGATTGGCATCGTGAACGAAGTGAAAGAAATGCTTGAGCTCTCTTCATTGTAATTGCTCGCGAAGTAATACTAGTGTAATATACCCGGCGCTAATAATAACAATAATTATAGTGACAAGACTAATCATAATCATAATAGCAAAAATATTTTTTCTCAGATTATTCTCATCAGAATAACAAGATTGAAAAATAATCATGGCCCATTGCCCACTCGTGGAAACCCGTCACCCACTAGTGGAAACCCCTCGACTCTCTAGGGCAAACCCCACTGCACACACCTCTGCACGTCCAGGATGTTGTCACTAATGGCTTCGGCTTCCTGAGCTTCCGGCCACACAGTCGGCATACCGGCCAGCGTTGACGCGGCTCCGCAGCACTCGTTCACACTTCGAGTAAAGCATGATATTTTTGTGAGTACTTTAGCACTTTATCTAGGTTTGTTTGTTGTTATCTCGGCTCGTTTGGATATTGTTTTTGCCCACCCACCCACACCTTCTCCACGCGCATGCGTGCAAACATCGTGATTCCCTTCTCTGTTCCTGCCTTGAAGCCGAAGGCGAGTGCGAGAGGACGTTGAATGTTTTGCACTTCAACCCCAGCCCGTGTCAAAGGGAGTGCTTGAAGCATAGGGTGACGTGATTTGATAACTTGTTGAGATGGCCCGTGCTCATACATGAGAATAATGGTTTCTGGCGTGCTAGACGGCGCACTATTTCCCAAGTGTTCTTGCCTCATGTGGTTGTGTGCATGTTGCTTGTTTGTTTTAATGTTGAGCCGTTTTGCATTTTCATGCTTGAACCGTCTCAAGATTTCGGGCTCGACTGCGGAGCTGAATTTCTTTTTTTGGTCCCACCGTCCCAACCCCGGAGGAAGGAAGGATGTGTTCACAGGTGCTTAGATTTGGATGCAGACTGACCTTATGGGACCCGGGAATGCCCTCTTGTGTTCACGTCTGCACTTGAGACACGGCTCCAATGCATTTGAGCTTATATTGTATTCACGGTATGTCCGATACCTTTTGATACGGCCTGATGACAAGTGTATTTCGAGTGCATGGGAATCGTTTTGAGACTTCATTTTGGTGTGCGCCTCTCAACTTTGAGGGGCAATTACAGGGTTATGGGTCATGGGCGCAGCTGAAGACTGGACTTCAAGACGGTGCATTCGCACGCACCTACAGAGTTGAAAGGAGAATGGTCCTTTTGACCTAGCTGCGGAACTGAAGCTTCGAAATTAACGGTTTCGTGCCATTGGCAAATGGTTTCCAAAACCAAAGGTGTTGAGTGTTTCAGGCATGACAGAGAGTTTTATGTTGATATCCGGGCCTTGGGCCGCGGATTGACAGTTGAAGCAGTGAATGTGACCTTCATTCCCTTGTTGTGCCAAGGGAGCCAAGGGAGCTTGTAAAACTGGTACAGGGGTATCATCTTGTGATCGGTATTGTTGTTCCAACTGAAGCGTTTGCTCTCAAGCCGTCATAGGCAGACAAATCACGGGGCGCCATGAGCATTCCATGGATTCCATTGTGGAGTCTCGAGGGGTGAGTAGCTCTGGTGGCTGTTTCCCAACACCTCGAAACCTTCTGGCTGCCCGTTGTAGCTCTGAACAGAAGCCGAGTGTTGATGTTCGAAGCAGTACCTAGCTTCGTACGGTTAGGACAAAGTCGCCACAACCATGGCAGTCGATGCCGAATTGGATGCAGAGGCCGTGGTGTCGAATCCGCAGAAACTGCTGCACTGAAGTGACCTTCTTGCCATCACATTGCCATCATACGCAAACCGTGCTAGGCTCAAGCGCTGGTGAAAGCCGCCTTGCAATTTGTCAGAGACGTCACTTCGGAAGCCGATGCTGCAGAAGGAGGCGTCTCTGAGGCAGCAGAACTTCGCAAGCAGCTCCAAGAAGTAGAAGGTGAGATGCGAGAAGTCGAAGAGCTGGCCAACAACTCCAGCCTCCATGCTTTGAGAAGGGCGCTCTCTGCTGTGGAGCTTTTGCTCTTTTACACTGTCAAGACGGAGGTTGCTGGGAAATGCGCAGCCGTGATGTACCTGACCAGCCGCCGGCAACAGGTGACCGTCGCACGCATTGGTGAGGTCCTGTGGCTGGCAAGGGACGCAGAGGAACTTGCCCGTGATGTGCAGGAGCTACAGCGTTGCTGTAGGTGAACATCGTGTTATGACTAGATGCAGATGACAAAAATCACAGACATGATAGAAATCACAGAAATTGCAGAAATCACAGACATCACAGAAATCACGGAAACCACAGAAATCTCAGAAATCACAGACATGATGAAAATCACAGAAATCACGGAAATCACAGACATGACAGAAATCACAGAAACCACGTAAATCACAGACATGACAGAAATCACAGACATCACAGAAATGACAGATATGATGGAAATAACAGAATCCAACCCCGACAGGATCCTTGGATGGAGGCAACCGCGCTGAAGGCCAGCAACGAGGGTTCTGCATGACACATGTCGCATCATGTCGCATGCTGCTCGCATGCTGCTCGTATGCCATGAGGTGCTTACTCGCATCCATTTGAGCCGAGTGGGTGAGCCAGATGCTCCAGTGGCTGCCATTACAGAAGCCACAAAGGCATTTCACTGCTTGGCTGTTCCGTCAGCTGAGTTGCAAGCCAGTGGCATGTTCAGTTTGTTCCAGGCCTTGCAGGTCTTGCAAGGCCTTGAGGGTGAGGAGGACCAGGACAGCTATCGGAGACTGTTCAGCGAAATTTGCCCGCTGGGCGGCATTTCCTCCAGGAATACCGCAGAATGCACGCCGAGATCATCTTCGTGTTAGGCAAAAGGCTTCTCTTGGCAGAGAGCCAATGTGTCCAATCAGCGTCCTTCGAGGCGATGCGCAGCTCACAAAGGCTTTGAAGTCGCCCTTTAGTCAGGCACGCCCGTCGGCAGAGCTCTCCCCCGTGCTCTGCCGGCTCTGCTGGCTCTGCCCGTGCTTTGCGCAGCTTGAATTCCTATGAACTCTTTCATTGCTGCCGTTGCCCTGTGAGGCCCGCGAGGAGGCCCTGGAGGCTGCCGCTTCGACGCTGCGGACGGCGGCGGAGGCTCGCCGTGCGGCGCGGGGGGTGCACTTGCTTTCATGTTTTTTTTCTTTTCTGGATGTTCGAGGCTTTCCGGAAGCTTGGGGACGTCAAGTGGACGGGCCGGTCAATGCTCGGAGCAGCCCTCGCGTTGGTCGGTCGGGTGCCCACTGAGCGAAACGTAGCCTCCAAGAAAGAGTTTGTCACTGGATCCGTCTCTCTTTCTCTCGTTCTCTCTCTTTCTCTCTCTCTCTTTCTTTCTTTCTTTCTTTCTTTCTTTCTTTCTTTCTTTGTCTCTCTCTCTCGCTCTCGCTCTCTCTCTCTCTCTCTCTCTCTCTCTCTCTCTCTCTCCGCCTTTCTCTTTTTGTTCCCTGGTCGAGCTGTGGACTGGGAGTGGTGCCGGGGAAATATACTGCCTGGTCTCTCTCCTTCACTTCCTGTGTTCCTTGCGAGGTGTGGAAGACGAGGACCAACAGATGGACGGTGAAAGGCTAGCAGAAGATGCCAAGGACTTGCATGAACAGTAGGAAGTTGGCACCATCCTTTCCGGAAATTTCGGAAGCATGGATGAATGTGGACGGGGCAGAAGAGGACCTGTTCCACGAAGCAGCTGAATGGTGCTGTTGGCTCGGTTTATTCTTGGTTGCGGGGTGTTGAGCGCTGCCTAGCCGGCCTAGCCCGAATCTTGGAGGGACTTGGAAGTTGTGGCTGTGATGATCATTGTCAAGCCCGGGCCTTAACTGTCCCCCGCCGCATCTCCCCCCGTGCTCTCGCGGAAGACGCAGCAGTTAAGGTGTCGAATTACTACTTCCGGGCTCGACTGCGCCCTACTGTCTGCCGAGGCCTCTCTTGATAATCTCATGGGCTCATGGGGTCGAATGGCAAAAATTGGCAAAGCGAATCAAGCACTTCGGCACAGTCTGCCTACGCAGCCTGTGATCGAGGTCATGTGTTTGCTAGGGTTTCGTGCAATGTGCAAGGCGAGGCCACCGATCGCCTCTCAACACGGGCAAAAGCCTGTGACAAAGACCCTCGCATGTTCGCTCCACCTCAAACCCTCAAACCCTGCAGGGAAGGGAAGCCTGGAGGTCTTTGGTGAACGGCCTGAACGGCCCTCCCCCTCCGTTGATTCCTCCCCTACCCATGATCCTCGGCTTTTGATTGAGGATGTTGAGAAAACACCTACTGTAGGAATGCCTGACATAATCATCACTTCGATGTTGCCTTGTGTTTCAGCCAGGTGGGAGTTTGTCCGGGGTTCGACTCGTTCTGTTTCTGCTGCCTGAAGTTTGAACCGCTAGGAAGAAAGGTCCTGCAGAGGTCTCAGTGAGGCCTTATTGGAGATAAGTCATGGGTAAAGTTAGCCCAGGAGGGCGAGGATGCAACTGCCCATAGATGTCAGGACGCAGCAGAAGACTGGAAGGAAGAAGGTGGCAGGCTCGTGCCGTGTTCCCGCCGAAGTCAGGAGCTGGACTTTTCAGGAACATGAAAAGTAAGCAATTCTAGAATTCCACCAATATGTGTGCAGAGACGAGTGGTTCTTTTCTCTTTCTTGTTGCCATTTTTTTGGTTCAGGGTGTTTAGTCTTGGTCCCAGGGAGTGCGCTTAGAGCCCCTAAGTGGTTGTTTAAGCAGCTTCTTAGTGTTGCTCCGCCCTCAGAAGTAGGCGCGAACGATCTTGTAGGTACCGTTAGGTTGCGTCGGGCTTTAGGCATTCGACTGGCACTTTCAAGATTCCTGAGGGTAGTTTCAATCCTTCTAAAGCCTTGTAGAGAACTGCCAGGGTACAGGTCCCGAAGGTGCTGCAGGCTTGTTACTTGCAGGCCTGAACACGTGGCCATTGCCTTGCACACAGCTGCTTCCATCTACTTTCAGCTCAAGGAGTGAGAACTCCCCCTTGGACAGCTTTGGACTGCTTTGGCCTTGCTGCATCTTTGCGGAAGGAGGGGCTTGAGAAGGCAGCGCTATTCTGTGAGGAAGCTCCGAACTCAATCTTCGGCGGGCGGCTGTTTTGTTTTGGGTGCAGCGTGGGAGCGCGGGATACATCAACTGAGGCGTTGAAGCTCTTTCGCACGGCGCAGTGGCGCCGAGCCGAGGTGCGGTGCTGTTTCATGTTTAAAAAGTTCTTCACGATGTGGCATGAGCCTTGCCCTGAACTTGGCTGGCAGTCCGCCGTGCTGCAGACGCTGTCAAGAGTAGAGACGCTCAACCGGAACTATGACAAGAGCATCTCGTCAATCAAGGAGGCGGGGGTTGCCAGGCTCTGTTCTTCCCTCCGAAGAGTGCAAAGCAGATCTCGGAAAATGTCGAGGCCATTGCCAACTACTGCGAGATGCAGGAGAAGAGAGACATTCCCTCTCCTTCTCTCTTTAAACTCTCTTGTTACTCTTATTTTACATATTCGATTTTTTTGTTTTTGCCTTCTCTTCAAACTTCTTTTCAAACTTCGCTTTTTTTTCTTCTCCAGGACCGGCGCGGGGAGGCGGAGTCGCTGACCTTTGCGGCCGAGGCCTCCCTGAGCCGCCTCAACGCCGAGGAGAGCGAAAGTGTGCTTTGTTCTCTCTTTTTTGGGCCTATTTTTGAGCTTTCTCTAGAGCTCTCCTTTTTCTTTTTCTCTCAAGACTTCGAAGTCTTCGGAGTCGACTCCTGCCCCCTCTCTTTGAGCTCCAGGAGCACATGCTTCCGACAGATCAGGCCAAGGCTCTGGCGGACGAGGAACACCCGTTCTGCGTGGCCCCTTCCACAAAGCAAAAAAAAAGCCTGAAAGACATGTTTCCCAGGGTCGGGACTTCTCCGACCAAGCTGGCAGCATCTTCCGTGAACTGGGAGATAAAGAAGGCCTGCAGATGGTGGACGAGGCGCGGGCTGTGACTGCAGGAAAGAATCGCCAGGGAAAGCTGTGGCTGAGGTCATGTATCTGGCCTCCAACGTGGCCGTTGAGCGCTACTGCGAGGCTTCGTCAACGACTGTTTTGTCTTTCTTCGAAGCGTCGAAGAATGCGCTGAGAGCAAGTCAAAGAGGCCTGGCCACCCACCCGAATGATCACCACCCTCAAGGCCAGACGAGGGAGGACAAGAGAACCGGCTCTGTGAAGGTATCACAAGAACCCTCTTGACAAGGAACCCCCCCCCATCTGTTGGGATTGCAGCTCTTGACCACGCATTCAAGCCACTTCGAAATCCTTCATTGAAACCCCGTCAATGTCCTAACACCAGGTCTCGACATTGCAGGTTTATGGTATTTTATGGTTAACATCCAACCTAACTATTTCAAACTCTGATCAATCTTCTGCATGTATGGAGCTCAGACCCATCCCATAAGCAGTAGGAAAGCAGCTTCGTAGGAAAGCAGCTTCGTATGCATGCCCTCAAAACGTCACATTGTCAGAAGCAGCACCCATTGTTATGTGAACTGTTACATCTTACAGGGAACAGTATGTTCTGACTGGCTTCTATGTCTCTTGTGCCATCTCGTGCCAGTCTGATGGCAATGGTGCTTCGGAGATGTACGGCGCAGTGGGCTCAGGCATGTCAGCAGTTGCGGAAAGGATCTGAGGGATACAGTACCTGACAGTACCTGACTGCTACGTACTACTACGTACCACTGCGTACCTCGGTACCCCTTCGGCCTGAGGAATGGCTCATCGATCGTGGTGAGGGCAACGATGCCTTGCGTGTGCGGAGGTTAATGAAGAACGGCCGTTGTGAGGGCGCAGTGCAGTACCTGTAGACTTCTGCCCATCTTTAGGACTTCTAGTGTCCAGAAGCTTCATGAGTCCTGCTCTTCCGGGACGCGAAGGTCTGTGATCTGGCTTCTTACATCTATCAGTGTCCTGTTTGAGTCATTCATGAGAATGCCTGGAAGAATATATGGGTGACCAGCACAGATCTCGTGGCAAGGGATGTTGACGCCCGCAATCGAGTTTGTTCTGTGCTGTCGCCAGTGCTGCACGTAGTCAAGGTCGTTCAGCTTTGATCACAAGAGCATGGCCCTGCAGGCGTTTTGCATGAAAAGTGCCCTGTCAGCGTGAAACATCCGTTCCCGGTCGGAATTGCGAGCTCCGTTCTAGTCGACATCTGCACACTGTGAGCACCCTGTGAACATGAACCAAATCACCTTGAAGCGCGACATTGCCCCGTCAGCCCTGTGTGAGGGGGCCGAGTGCATTCTGAAGGAGTGCCTCAGAAACCCTCAAGATCCGAATGGTGGGCCTGGCTAGGGTTCCTGCGGTGGGCCGTAGTCGCGTGCTTGTGTTGTTGTGTTTGGTTGGCAGCTGTCCAGAAGTGTCAACCCGGCAGATTTCAATCTTGAGCGATGCATGTGTGTGTGTGTGCTCATGACGGCTCGAGCATTGAGTGATCATCTCCCTCGTACTTACTGTGCATCCGTCTTGGATGGCAGTTTCTGCTGGATCGTCCGCTTTCGATCTTTCGATCTGATTGCATGGGGCCACGGCTTCGGGGAAACCATCCTTCGGCTGGCCCGGCATTTCTGCTGGAAGTTGCAGTTGCAGCATTGGAAGCTCGGAGCATGTAGTGCCTGCCGTAGCTCATCAAGTCTCGCTGGCTCATTGCTTCTGTTGTTCTGATTCTGCCAGTGCAAGGCTGCAGCGGCGTCCGATGTTCCAGAGAAGTTCAATGTCGGACCCGAGCACTTTATGCAGGCCCGAGGCTGCTTCGGAGAAGCATTCCGGGGAGCATTTGCGCTGCGACCTGCGTGCTTGCTCCTGCTGTTGCTCTGCCAGCTTGCTTGCGTCGTGCAAAGTTTGGAAATGTTTGGAAAGCAGTTTGACGAAGCCAAGCATGGCCAGATTCCTGAGTTTGATGCCAGGCGAACCTTCACAAGGAGCAGGCTCTTTTCTTGAAGCCGGCTGATGCACATGAAGCGACCTGCCAAAGTCGCAGTTTCGTGCAGAGGCGCTCAGAGGTAAGCCAAGTGAGCGCTTCAGGAGCGGACTTCAGCTCTCAAAGCGCCGTCGACGTTGTAATTGTTGGTGCCGGCTACTCTGGCCTCTCTGTCGCCCATAAGTTGCGCCAGTCGAACATATCCTTCAGGGTCATTGAAGCACGACATCGCCTAGGTGGGCGAATCTTGGACGAAGACATCAGCAAGCGCGGGGATGCGGATGACACCATTGAGATTGGTGGTCAATGGCTGCATGACACTCACTCCAACGCGATCGCCTTTATGAATGCAATGGGTTTCGATGTATACGAACCTGGCCAGCAAGAAGGCCTGCAGAAGTTTCCCTGCAGCGGGTGCCATGGACGAGTGGCGACGAGCAGCGGTTGGCTCAATGCTTCTGCGTCTGGGAAGGCGACCTGGCCGCTTTCTATTGAAGAGATGAGGCTCTTTCACGCGACTTTGGACACAATCTGGAAGGAAATCTCAGAAACGCCATGCAAGGATCCGTTGTCAAATCCCAATGCGCCGATCTTCGATTCTCTTTCTTATGATGCTTATCTTCGTCAGCATCACCAGCTGGAAAGCTTTCCTGAGTTTGAGCGGGTTTATGGCACTTTGCTGGACCTGTGCCTGGAAGCAGAGGGGGCGGAGCGTGTCTCCGCTCTACATTGTCTTTGGAAAGCCAACTGCACGCACAGTGGGCAGCACGCTGGTGGCAAGTTTTTCAGAGTCAGAGGGGGGCCCCAGGCTTCCCTGAAGCACCTGGCGTCTGAGCTGCAGTCCATGGGTTCCATCTGGCTCAGCTCTGAGGTGTTGGCCATCAAGGACAGTGATGAAAGTGACAGTGAGGAAAGCGATGAAAAACTGAAGGTTGTTGTGACCAATACGACGACCGTCCTTGCACGGCATGTTGTTCTGGCAGGGCTTCCCCCTGCCCAGCTTTTGAAAATCAAGTTTGTACCGCAGCTCCCAGAAGAAGTCTCAAAGCTTCTATCACTCTTGTCACTTGGTTCCGTTCGCAAGTATTCTCTAGTGTACAAGGCTCCTTGGTGGCGAGCGAGGGGCTACAGCGGCTCAATCAGATATGTGAACTACTCTCTGCCGTCTCTTGATCCTCAACGATGTTTTGACAACTCTCCATATTCAGCCTCACGCGGAGTTCTGACTTGTATGACGACGGGTGATGTGAATCGAGGCCTGCAGCGACTGTCAGAGGAGGCGCGCCGGGCAGCTTTGCAAAGCGTGGTGCATGGAGCCTTTGGCGCAGCAGAGGCAGATGAGTCGCCACAAGTTGTGGATAAGGATTGGAGCAGGGACGCGTATTCGGGTGGTGCCAACGTCTTCTACCCGACAGGTACATTCTCAAGTTCTTGGCCAGGCACATTGCAGGTGTTTTTTCATCACCAGCTCAGCAGCTCCATTTGGATTGCTGGCGCAGACTATTCCCACATCAGCCACGGCTACATGAATGGAGCGATAGGGTCTGGCCAGGCAGTTGCAGAGCGTCTTGTACAAACGCTTCACGCTTAGAGAGCTTGCTGTCGGGACAAGAGACAGCGAGGAGCTCTGAAGAACGGTTGATGCCACAGTTTCAAGAAGCCACGCCCCCCCTGCCCACCAAGAAGGATTTGCAAGGCGAGGTTCTGGGCAGCGGGGCAGCAGATCTTTGAACCCAGTGCATCGCTGCATACTTTGTAGCATGCATCCGACGAGAAAAGGAATGGACCCTCTTATGCCTTTCTGTAGAGTCGTCACCTCAAACTGAGAGTTGGTTGAGCTGGCCGTGACCGTGATCAGTGCATGGGCCTGCGGCCTGACTAGGGTTCTTTATGGTTGTTTCAGTGTCGTGCGAATACGTGTGAGGGTCTTTGTGAGCTAGCAACTGTCCAGAGAAGCGTGAACCTGGCAGGTTCCAATCTTCAGCGATGCAGGTGTCTGCTCATGACGGCTCGAGCATTGATACAGTGGTCATCTCCCTCGTACTTACCGTGCATCCACCTTGGATAGCTTTGCATTGCCATGAAGGCTGTGTGCATCGTGGCTTTCTTGTCCGTTTCTCTCGGGGCTTCTGCTGGATCCCAGCCGGTGGCGACAGATGCGACCGGGATGTCTGGGATGCAAGCCGAGTCCGAACAGTCCGAACAGTGCCAGTCTGGGAGCCTGATCCAGCGTTCCTCCCAGAAGGCGATGCTGCCCACGAAGGCGACGCTTGGCGAGACCGAGGTTGCGGAGCCAGAGACCCCACCGAACAAGGTGAGCAAAAAGATGAACAACAAGATGAACAAAAAGATGCAGAAGAGGCAAAAGATGCAGAAGGAGCACGGAGATCTCCTGGCCTTCCTCGCTCAGTCAAAGGAGTCACAGGAACAGATTCCTCCAGGAGATTCTGAATGCACACCGACAGGAGCCCTGCGCCTGTCATCTCTGCCTGTGATTTTGTCGTGTCTTTGCACTTTGCATGTCGCCCGGAGTCGGCTCTGTTTCTTTTCAAAGCTCGGCCTTTTCAGGAGCGCCTCTGGCGGGCGAGAGCAAGGCGAAGTTTGAGGTGCTTTTGCAAAAGGTCTCTGCCCTCGACCTGGATGCTGTCATCGCCCGCCTTGTCAAGAAGAAGGACTACATGCCCAAGATTGCAAAGAGGGCCGCCGATGAGTACCGCAAGTTCCTGGTGTTGATGGGCATGGGCGAGAAACCGGTCGCGCCCAAGATGGTCGTCGATGCCTGGCAAGCCCACATCATGCCACCAGTCCTGAACATGTGGGCTTGTTGATTGTCAGCTGTTGACATGTCCGCGGACGTTGTTCGGTTTCTGTGTGGTTTGTGTAGTTGGAAGCCCGGCCAGGTTCACACAGACGTACGAGCGGGACTGCCGTGAGGTGTTTGGCCACTTGCTTGAACATGACCCCCTTGCTCAGCACTTGGAGGCCAGTCGTCTGGAGCAGATGCAACAGCAGATCTGCGACTATTTCGGCATGGTAGACCGGCTTGTTTGGGAACAGCCGCGGGCAGTGGCCGCTCTCTCCCAGAGCGCGGACCCGGCCACCACCATGCAGCACTGGCTTGACCACATCAACGACAAGTCGATCTTCCGTGAGGACCTCATGACAGAGGATGTCAACGTGCTGGTGGTTTCGCAACACAGCTCCAATGCCACAACCTATGATGGCAGAATCGAAGCTTTGTCCTTCTTCCACCAGCATGGGCATGCCACCAGGGCACGCGAGTTCCTTTCCGTGACCCCCGGTGCCTTTGCCATCGAGATGACAAAGAACCTGCGCATGGGGGTTGACATCTTCGAGGTGAACTCGCAAGGCCAGATCTTCGACATCAAGATCTGGATGGCCTCCCTGAGAGCGGACCAAGACGACTTGAATGACACCGGGCTAACAACTTTCGGCAACGGATCGCAAGCCAGCATCTCAGTAGCACCAGCTGAATCGCGGAGGGTCACAAGCTGATTCTAGAATGGGCTTGAATAGACATCTTGGTTGCGCGTCTTCGTGCATCTTCGCACTCTGATATTTTATCGTGCCCCAGACTTGAGGCGCTGGTCGATGCCGGGGAGACAGACGTCACCTTGACAAAGGCTGCCATGGAGTCCTGGATGCAAAGCCTCAACGCAGAGCCGAAGGAAGAGCTCCTGGCGGCCGATGTGCGCATGCTTCGGATGTCGCAAAGGGACATGGAACCCGAAATTCATACTGGGAAGGCTGACGTGATGGATTTCTTCCGAGACTTCGAGCATGCCAGCGGGGCCCGAGAGTTCCTTTCCGTGGACGGAGGCGCCTTTATGCTCGAGCTAAAGAACGACATGCATCCTCGCATGGGAATCCTGGTTTTTGAGGTGAACCCCGATGGCAAGATCCAGGACATCAAGGTTTGGATGGGTTCCCTGGAAAACGACAAGGCCGACTTGGGCGACAGCGGCCTGAATCAGACGCTCCTGTCGCAAGAGGAGGCCCTCGTGGCGAGTGCCTTGCCCGCGTAAGCCATGTTAGCACAGCTCAAGACACAACATGAGAACACCATGTTACTTGCTGCTTTTTGCAGAGCATTCCCTGCTTACCATGTGATGGCACCACAGATATCGCCTCGAACATCTCCAGGCCCCGAGCCCACGGAGTGCTTGCGTTCCGGCAGCCAGCCGTCCCCGCAGCAAACGCGCAGCTTCAAGACAACTGCCGAGAAGGTGAAAACGCTTGACCTCAATGCTGTGGTAGCCGTTCTCGAGAAGGATGGCTACTCGCCCAGCAGGGCAGCAAGCCTTGCGGAAGAGTACCGAAAGTACTTGACCCTGGTGGGCGCCGGCCTGAACCCTGTGCCGTCGCAGAAGGTGGATGATGCGTGGCATGCCCACATCCTCAATACCAAGAAGTACCAGGCTGACACACGTGCGCTGTTCGGCCACGTCCTCCATCACGAGCCGGCCAACCTTCTCCTGGACCAGCAGGGCATGACAGCACAGAAATCCTCCATGGACGACATGTTCTTACAAACCAAGATGCAGCTCTGCGACTACTATGGTCGCGTCGATGAAGCCGTGTGGTCCAAGGAAGACGTCGCCCTGTGCCTTTGCGGCTGCGGCTGCGGCTGCGGTTGCGGCTGCAGCTGTGGCTGTGGCTGCGTCACTCCGAGCCCCCCACCGAGCCCGAGCCCGAGCCCGAGCAGTGGCTGCTGAGCCTGTGCCTCTGAGAGCCCTGTTTCCCATGTACCCAAAGTTTCTGCAGTAAATGCCGTTTCAAGAGCCTTCGAGTTTCTTTCAAGTTTCAGAAGTTTCCAGATCTGGCGCCACCGGGAGAGCCAACAGAGCGCAGAACTGCGAGACGTGGGAGAGGCATGGAGAGACGTGGGACCTCTAAAAGCCCATGGAAACGTCCCAAACCCATCCAAACCCTCCAGCCATGCACTTGCGACGAGGCAGCTGTCCAGAGAAGCGTGAACCTGGCAGGTTCCAATCTTCAGCGATGCAGGTGTCTGCTCATGACGGCTCGAGCATTGATACAGTGATCATCTCCCTCGTACTTACCGTGCATCCACCTTGGATAGCTTTGCATTGCCATGAAGGCTGTGTGCATCGTGGCTTTCTTGTCCGTTTCTCTAGGGGCTTCTGCTGGATCCCAGCCGGTGGCGACAGATGCGACCGGGATGTCTGGGATGCAAGCCGAGTCCGAACAGTCCGAACAGTGCCAGTCTGGGAGCCTGATCCAGCGTTCCTCCCAGAAGGCGATGCTGCCCACGAAGGCGACGCTTGGCGAGACCGAGGTTGCGGAGCCAGAGACCCCACCGAACAAGGTGAGCAAAAAGATGAACAACAAGATGAACAAAAAGATGCAGAAGAGGCAAAAGATGCAGAAGGAGCACGGAGATCTCCTGGCCTTCCTCGCTCAGTCAAAGGAGTCAAAGGAACAGATTCCTCCAGGAGATTCTGAATGCACACCGACAGGAGCCCTGCGCCGGTCATCTCTGCCTGTGATTTTGTCGTGTCTTTGCACTTTGCATGTCGCCCGGAGTCGGCTCTGTTTCTTTTCAAAGTTCGGCCTTTTCAGGAGCGCCTCTGGCGGGCGAGAGCAAGGCGAAGTTTGAGGTGCTTTTGCAAAAGGTCTCTGCCCTCGACCTGGATGCTGTCATCGCCCGCCTTGTCAAGAAGAAGGACTACATGCCCAAGATTGCAAAGAGGGCCGCCGATGAGTACCGCAAGTTCCTGGTGTTGATGGGCATGGGCGAGAAACCGGTCGCGCCCAAGATGGTCGTCGATGCCTGGCAAGCCCACATCATGCCACCTGTCCTGAACATGTGGGCTTGTTGATTGTCAGCTGTTGACATGTCCGCGGACGTTGTTCGGTTTCTGTGTGGTTTGTGTAGTTGGAAGCCCGGCCAGGTTCACACAGACGTACGAGCGGGACTGCCGTGAGGTGTTTGGCCACTTGCTTGAACATGACCCCCTTGCTCAGCACTTGGAGGCCAGTCGTCTGGAGCAGATGCAACAGCAGATCTGCGACTATTTCGGCATGGTAGACCGGCTTGTTTGGGAACAGCCGCGGGCAGTGGCCGCTCTCTCCCAGAGCGCGGACCCGGCCACCACCATGCAGCACTGGCTTGACCACATCAACGACAAGTCGATCTTCCGTGAGGACCTCATGACAGAGGATGTCAACGTGCTGGTGGTTTCGCAACACAGCTCCAATGCCACAACCTATGATGGCAGAATCGAAGCTTTGTCCTTCTTCCACCAGCATGGGCATGCCACCAGGGCACGCGAGTTCCTTTCCGTGACCCCCGGTGCCTTTGCCATCGAGATGACAAAGAACCTGCGCATGGGGGTTGACATCTTCGAGGTGAACTCGCAAGGCCAGATCTTCGACATCAAGATCTGGATGGCCTCCCTGAGAGCGGACCAAGACGACTTGAATGACACCGGGCTAACAACTTTCGGCAACGGATCGCAAGCCAGCATCTCAGTAGCACCAGCTGAATCGCGGAGGGTCACAAGCTGATTCTAGAATGGGCTTGAATAGACATCTTGGTTGCGCGTC